TCGAACTCATGCGGAAGTGGCTTTAGATTCTCAGTGCTGTGCTTTAACCCGCTGCGCCACCAGGGAGGGCCAATAAATAATTTTTTTAAAAAATTTTAAAAATCATTTAAAGTTATAGAAATGAAGGTAAATTGGTATTTGGGCACAATAAGATTAGCAGACCAATGGAATTGAAAACAAATCAGTTCACATGTACATGGTTACCTGATGTATAGCAAAGGCACCAAAGCCACTTATCAACAGACTAGGTTTGTGGTATACTCAGATAACAAAACACATAGCAATGCAAAACTGCTTCTCACAACAACACTAGTGAATCTCACAGATAAAGTGTTGAGAACAGATATCTACACTAAAATCACAACTTACCCATGGTAATAAAGTCAAACATTAGTTACCTTTGTGGAGTTTATTAACTACAAGTGACACGATCAACTCCTCTTGATAGTTTCACAAGCTGAATACATACGTAAAGATCCACCATGCCAAAATCATTAAGATTTGTGAACTTTATATACTATACCTCAATTAAAAAATAAAGTCAAAAAGAAAAAGAAACCAACAAAAGAAAACTAAGATGAAACTAAGAGCAAGATAACAAGAAACAGAAGCAGAGAAATCTGAGAAGAGCTTTAAGACTAAGAGAATGACCAGCAGTCAAGAGTTCATTGGATTCCACACCAATGGGATCCTTAAGGAGAACTTTTCCTAAAGTGGAAGATCTGAGTCCAATATACAATGCATCTAGTTGTGAATACCAGGAAGAGGCACTATCAAGAATTGTGATATACTAGTCTTTGCTAGCCAGGCTGGGAAAGAGCAGGAATGGTGTAGACACCATTGTATACTGGTGTAGACACCACTGTATACTATTTGTTGGGTAAGAGAATAGTGCTTCATTTTAAGTAAAAATAAGGCTGTGGATTATTCTTCAATATCCATAAAAACTATTTATCTTTGTAAACCTCATTAGATCACAAGTGTTGAATTTAGCCAAAGCATCTCTCCTTTCTTTTCTTTTCTTTTCTTTTTTTATCAGAAAAGTGAGCATGTACTTCCAACGAAGCTGGGAGAATTACAATCACATATTAAAATGTGAATCATTCAAGTCTGCTAGAAATTAATCACCCACAGAAGAGCTTTTAAAAACATATCTGAGAAAAGGATTACCTTTGCAATGCATATTAAAATATAATTCTCACCTTAATAATTATCTTTCTCCCACCTATTTGTGTGAAGCATATAACTTAATGTAGGCTGATTATTACTAAGTGATAACTTTTTAATTGTTCCATGAAATTTCAGTATGTAAGAAATGCAGTGGTATTTTTTCCTCCAAGTCCCTTTTCTGGAAACTTACAATGATAGAAAATGGATTAGCTTGATTGTAGCCTATTTGAATCATATCAAGTTCATTAAAACTTTCAAGATTTGCCACAGAGTTTTACTTTACCAGAAACACAAGAATCATGTAAAGAAGTGTATCTGCCTGCCCCTGGCCAACCAGGAAAGAACATATAAACAGCAAATGACTTACTATAATGTGCTGATAAGGATCTATAAATGACATTATGGCTTCAATTACAGGAAATCTCTTCACACTTCAAAGGTCTTCTCTGGGGCTCTAGCTTCTTTAAAACCTACAAAATAAACAATCGCCATTGTTAAACTTCCTCTTGTTGTAGCTCCAAGATTTAAATGATTTGAGTATGAATCTTTGGGAGTAAAAATTTACCCCAAGGGGTTAGATAGATTATGTTCTCTGACCCTTTATAAATGGGGATACACACACAATTTAGGGGAAAAGTAAACACACTTTGATAGTGCTATTTAAGATCCATATTTATTTGTTCAAATTGATTGTATGATTAGCTGGAAATTCCAGAATATTGTCTTTTGCATTTGTATATTTATTTGCATGTTGTATGAAAAGTTCATTGAAATTACGGAAAATGTTATTTTTGTACTGTGAAAATTTCTGTTTATAATTAAAACTCGTATGTCATTGTTGTCTCAATCTTGTGACTATTACATAGATTCACAATTAACAAAAGAAACATTTTCTCCTTAGCTATTTGCTAGAAATTTTTTAAATATGTTCATGTTAAACTGCAACTTTAATGCTGGTATTTTAAAAGAAATGTTTGTCCGCATTAAGGTACCAGTTTAGAAGAAGTCAAATGAAAATGTTTTAATGGAAATGTATCTTCTACACTATGCTTTTTTCTTCTACAGTTACTCCACATTATTTAAAATTAAAATACTATTCAATGAATATCATTGCTATACCATTAAAAATATTTTTCCTTGAGAATTTACAAAACAATGCTTACTTATATTTTAGTATTCTATAAGTCACATCTAATTTGGAACGTTTTTCAAATACTTTTATTATTTTATGATTAACATGTAAATTCTGACTTCTTTAGAAGGTATATTAAAATACATTTATTTTCTTTTTAAACATCACATCAAAATTATGGAAAGAGTGGGTCTCAAAAATATACACTTCAAGTTACAAGATAAGTGGGTAATAGGGATGTAACATACAATATGACTGTAGTTAACAGTGTTGTGTGACATATATGAAAATTGTTAAAGAGAAAATCCTGAGAATTCTCATCACAAGGAGAAATTACTTCCTTTTCTCTCCTTTCTGTTCTTTTTAGTCTATTTATATGAGAAGGTAGATGTTAGCTGAACCTACTATGGTAATCCCTTTATAAAATATGTAAATCAAACACCCACACTAGATAACTTAGCTGATGTTTATTCTCAATAAAACTGGACAAAAATGACTAAAAATGATTCATATTCATTGATGTAAATGTGAACTATAAAAATAAAAATGTGTAATAATTATTTTCATTTTGATGTATCCTTTCAGACTATTTAAATGTGTGTTGATATTTCAATGCATATTTATACATTTAGAGTAAAAAAGAAAAGACAATTTGAAATATTTTTAAAGATTTATTTTTATTTATTGATGCATAAAGAACTGGGGTGTAGACCAGAGGTGGGAACAAGGGTGGTAAGACCCCAGAAGATATTTAAAATACTTAAAATACTTTAAAATATTTAAAATGCGGGCCCTCCCTGGTGGTGCAGCGGGTTAAAGCACAGCACTGAGAAGCTAAAGCCACTTCCGCATGCCTTCGATTCCCACCTGCCCTGTAAGTGATCACATGGCGTGGCAGACGTCCCCTGACCCTCCCGCTGCTCCCGTCAGCAGTGTACTTCGTCAATCTGCCTGTTCTGCTCCCCACTCTGTCTCTGGTGAATCCTCTCACCCTCCGCATCTCTGGCCTGTACCCCAATTCTGTACGAATAAATAAATCTTAAAAAAAAAAATATTTAAAATGCTCCTTTAGCAGAAAATTAGAAATCCTTAACAGGGTCTACAGTGTGGCTTTCCTACATGTTTACTGCAAATCAAAAAGAAAACTGTCACATCACAATATAGTAGCCAAATACAAGTAAACACGTATGTAAATAAACTATGTGAACAAATGTGAAGTGAGAGTTTTACTAAGAACAACATATCCTGATCTTTACTGTTTCATTTACTTAAGTCCAATAACAGCCCATTAAATGAATTTTAAGCTTAGAAGTTTGAAAATACTGATGTAAAAGACTTTAAGATGGAGTTTACAGATACTTCCTCTGCCTACCCCATCTCTCTTCCCTTTGATTTTTTTTCACTTTCTCAATTACTTTATTTTTTCATATTTTTTATCAATTTATATATCTATTTACATTATTGCTCATTTAAAAACAATGTTTACTTCCCCCTCCCACTTTGTCTGCCTGTTTTTACCATAGTTCCCCACTCTCCTCTCTCCCTCCTTCAGATCCCTTTCTGTCCCACTCCCTTTAGGAATATCTCTGGCTTATAATTGTCTGTTTTTATATTGTCTTGTTCTAATAGCAATCTACTTCCCCCCCCCATTATTATTTGGTTCTCTTATATTCCTCCTACTTATCCAAAGAGGAATTGCAAATGGCTAACAGGCATATGAAAAAATGTTCAACATTCCTTATAATCAGGGAACTGCAAATCAAAACTGCAATGAGATACTACTTCACACCAGTAACAACAAAATACATCAAAAAAAAAAAAAAAAAAACCCTAACAAATGTTGGCAAGGATGCAGTGAAAAGGGAACTCTCCTACACTGCTGGTGGGACTGTAAATGGTACAACCACTATGGACACTATGGAGTGGGGGTTCCTCAGACTACTAAAAATGGAGCTGCCACATGACCCAGCAATTCCACTCCTAGGGATCTATACAAAGGACACAAAAACATTAATTCAAAAGGATACATTCATCCCTATGTTTACTGTGGCATTATTTACAATAGGTAAAACCTGGAAACAACCTAAATGCCCAAAACTAGATGATTAGATCAAGAAAATGTGGTATATATACACAATGGAATACCACTCAGCAAGCAAAAAGATAAACTCATGCCATTTGCAGCAACATGGATGGAGCTGGAAGGGATCATGCTCAGTGAAATAAGTTAGAAAAAAAAAAATCAAATGATTTCCCTTTGATTTTACACTGAAGCCATACTATTTTCTTTACTTTTGTTCAAATGTGGTCTACTATCTTCCAGCCAAGGCTTTACTTGCCTCTTCTCTCCATCCCTTACTCAGTAAACATACATGGCATATCTATTACATGTCAAGCTTTGCTCAAGTCTATAGGAATAATGGTAAGTGAGTTAGACATGTTCCCTTCCCTCTTGAGAACCTTCCATTTCTAAAGGCCAGTTATAACATGGGTAATCCAAAACACAAATGAAGCTTTTAGAACTAGAGATGTATAAAATGTTGGGAATAGCAAAAAGTGGAACTAGGAAAAACTGGAGACCTGGAAAGGAGCTGACGATAGAAGGTAAGGAAGGAGTGGGTTTAAAAACACAGTGTCCAGGCAGGCCATTTGAGGAATTGCGATAAAAACAAGTGGCTAAGGAATAAGCAAAAGTGGCCTATGAAGAGGTTATAAATTGGTGGGAGAAATAGATCACATTAGGCCTACTGGGAGATTTGTTCACCCAAATAAACTTCACCTATTCTTCAGAATTCAGCTTAAATGTCACTCCACAGATAAATCTTCCATGATCTCAGAATATACTTGGTCTGGTTTTGCCTGTTTTCAGTTCCATTTGTACTTTGTATTCCTTTAAGCTTTTCACTCTACTTATACAATGTCTGTCTTCCTGAGAGAATTAAAAATGCACAAAGTTATTGTCACATTTATCTTGTTCACCGAGTCATCCCCAGTGCCTAGCACAATGTCTGAAACATAGTTAAGGAGAAATATCTGTTGGATGAATGGTGAGACGCACGTTATTCATCTAAGTCAGGTTTATGTATGAAGGAAATTCACCAAATAGTAATGGCACTTTCTTGTGAATCTTCTCTTTTCACATTCCTACTTTTAATGACAAATAATAATAAATAACAACTTCTAATAAAAAAAAAAACAGACAAGCAAACAAAAAGCAGAACAAGTAAAATTCAGAAGGGATAAGTCTTACAAAAAATGTTTAGAGGAAATCTGTAGTTGGGGCCCAAAGTTTGGAGTTAGCAATTTTATTTCCTCTTCTCACGCCCATCTGCTCATTCACTAGCACGGTGCTTGCCATGTAACTATTAAGAACTACTGTGACTACTGCAGTCTACAGCAAGAGCTATCTAGAAGCTTCCCATTATCAAAGCCAAACCCAGCAGGAAATATGCTTACGTAGCTATCTGCTCAAATTTATAATGTTAGAGATTACAAAGTGAAATGACATTAAACAAATATGACTCAGGGTATTTAATACAGAATAAGTTTTCCTTGTTCTTTACATACAGCAAGGTTAATTCAGAAATTAAATGTATACGTTCATTCAACATAAACTTGATTTAGATTTGAAGTGTTTAAGGATAAGGTCATTGACTCCTTCCATTCTGAGCATAGTCCAATCTCGCATGGCTGGAGAAGATTGACATCATATGGGAAAAACAACAAACATTAATTTATTGTACAATGTAAGGTGACTTTGTATGCTCTGAACCTGGTACATATTACAGCAGATTTTTTTTCTCTTGTGGATGCTTTGGTAGATTCCTCTGGACTACTCTAGCTTTGCAATCTCTTCCCTGAATCTTTTGACATGTAAAAAATTATTTCTGTTTTAGATGGGTCTGGTATTTTCTTCTACAGTGTATCCTATGGTTCTTTTATATAGATCTTCTTCTGAGGTTCTTTTGCTCTACTATTAAACCCCTTGTACAAAACTTAAGGCCTCTTTCCAGGGCCTCTTTAGTCCATGAACAATACTCATGTTTCCTTTATTCCAACAGACTATAAGAACACAATTATTTCCCAAATGAAACCCTATTTTTTAACTTGTGCCGCTCCTTATTTCTTAAATGTTACTAGATAAAGACTGAAGACACACATTAAATCCTCTGATAAATATTTATTTTTCAAATAAACAAACTAAAAAACAATCTGGAAAGCTTTCTTAGTATCTTTAAAGATTCCTCTCTTGATTGGGAGGTTAGGGGATATATTCCCAACAGATGTCCTCACCAA